CCCTGCCCATCCCTTCCTCCTCCTGCCCAGTCTGCAGGCTCTGCCCTACTGGCCTCCCTGAGTCACCATCGTCACCAACTTAGATGTGCTAAATGGTGAACCGAGGCACAATCGAGTGGTGAAGAGTTCATCTGAACAAGCAGGGATTTGTGGATCAGTCAGCTCCCAGCCGGAAGGGGCTTGGGATCCCTGAGGGAAATGGGCAAGGCAAACACAAGCAGAGGTAAGCCGGCACGGGCCTGGCTCGCGACAGGGCAGCTCCATTGGCTTGTCTGGCTGCAGAGCCCCGGGCACGGCGCCCTGAGCCTGCAGCTGCTTTTCTTTCTTAACCCCGGCCTGGAGGGCCAGCTGTGAGCTACGCCCAAGTCTGCACATTGGAGCACCTGGAGGCCTGCTGGAGGGCCGCGGGCAGCTGCAGGCCCGTCTCTGTTAGTGCCTGTTCCCGGAGTCAGGTGCTTCCCCTCCTGGTTTCCTTCTTCTTCTTTTTTTAATGAGAGAGAGAGAGAGAGAGAGAGAGAGAGAGAGAGAGAGAGAGAGAGAGAGAGAGAATCTTAATATTTATTTTTTAGTTTTCGGCGTACACATCTTTGTTGGTATGTGGTGCTGAGGATCGAACCCGGGCCGCACGCCTGCCAGGCGAGCGCGCTACCGCTTGAGCCACATCCCCAGCCCTCCTGGTTTCCTTCAAATCAGCAATCTTCTTCCAGGTCTTAAATGTGATTTTCATTTCTTTTCAGAACAAGAGGGGCCCACCTTATTGTTGGCATCAGCTCTCTTGAGACACCGCTGGACGCTATGTGTGCTGCCATCTAAAGTGGACAGCTCAATGGCTCTTGCCAGTTCCCAGTGTCATGGGCCACTTGGGAAGTCTGCCACCTGCACAGAAGCCACATCCAGTAGCCCAGACCTGGCTTTCTCCCTGGCCGAAGGCCACATATCCACTGAGGGGTGTGGAGCTGGACTTGGGCGCTGAGCTCTTCAGCAGGTCTGCCTAACTCTCCTGATTCTCGCTGGCTTTTTTTCTGGTGTTCTGTGTGAGAGACAGAGGCCTGTCTCTGACGATGGCACCTCTCTGACGCTGAGGCAAAGGAGCTGGCCTTCCCAGGGTCTCAGCCTTCCCATGGCCAGGCTCACCTGGTTCCTTCCACTGCCTTCTGTGTTTCTTTCTCTAGTTTGTAGCATTGTGCATCTTTGTGCCTTTGAGTGAACTGGTAGGTCTGCAGTGTGACACACGCATGTGGGGACAGCACCTGCCTTCTCCGCTGCTCCAGTACCTGGCTTCTTCAAATGAACTCTTCACCACTCGATGTTGTGTGCCTCGGTTCACCATTTAACACATCTAAGTTGGTGACGATGGTGACTGAGGGAGGGCCAGGTAGGGCAGAGCCTGCAGACTGGGCAGGAGGCGGAGCCACTCCCCCAGATGCCCACAGGCCAGCCACCCTCCCTCCAGATCTACTCTGCCATCCCCGCCTTGATGGAGGGATGCTCCCACCACAGGGAATGGGCTCTCAAGACTCTCAAGTCCCCTTCCTGAAGCCCCCAACTGCTGGTCTACCTCATTCCGTCTCCTGGAACCAACACACGGAGGCCTCCACACCCAGGGTCTGGCCCTGCTGAATGGGGTCTAGGCACAGTGGAGGCTGCTCTGACCTCCTCACACCTATGCATGGTGTGGAGAAGTGCAGCAGGTCAGGGTTAGGCACAGCTCTAAAGCGGAATCCAGGCTGGGCTCTCTGGGCCAGGGTGCCCTGCAGACTCAGCCTGAGAGAAGCCAGCTGTGCATAAAGCTGTTGGGCAGTGGAGTCTCACCTCCCGTTTTCCTGTCCAGGGGTGTGGGGAGACGGACCTGTGCTCTGGGCACTGGGGCGGGCAAGCATCCCTATGTTGGTCCAGTCTGCCAGCTTTGACGGTCAGTGTCTTAGTGGATGGGTCTCATGACACCTCTATCCTCACTCCTCCAGGAAGCACCAGGGCCTCTTCTAAAGGGTCTCGGCACTCGATCAGCCTGGCAGGCAACAACCACATCAGCAGTTTCCCACTGATAACAAACCAGCTGGGATTCGGCCACAGCTGCTCCCATGAAGAGAAGGTTCCAAATGGCTGCCAAAGTGCTCACAGCTGGATGCAGGGCCAGATTCTATCTAAACACCTCTCCCAGGGACCCTGGAGCCCGGGAAACACTGACAACATTCATAGAGGGGAGATGAGTGCGCTCATGATGCTGCCTTGCAGGTGAACAGAGCACTCTGTAAGCAGAGGACCTGGGGAGCTGCAGACACAGTGGGCCGGGGGCCTGCCCTCTGTGTTCCACAAGTTCGCAAACTCCCACGAAGAGCATGTCTACAGGCAAAAGTGTTTGGAAGCTGTGCTCCCTCCTGAGACAGAAGCCACACAGAAGGCAAAGGTGTGGCCCAGACGCAGACTGATACCCAAGAAAGCCAAGGGGCACAGCCAGTGCTGGCAGACCCCCCTTTCCACCTCTCTGGTTCCCTGACACCAAAGTCTGACAGAAGGGCCAGCCCCTGCTGGCTGGCCTCCTGTACCTGCTGCCCAACTCCAATCCCAGAGGCATCGGACACCCAAGTCCAGAATCAAAGCAGCAAACCCAACAGGGAGCAGAGTGGAGGAGGAAAACCGGGGCTGGCGAGGAGAGACGCAGGGAGGGAAGCAGCGCTCGGCTCACGCTGGCCAGCACCAAAACAGGGACAGAGAGCGGGGGTGGCCATTCACCACAGAGCAGTCAGGCCCTGAATCAACTCATGTAGTGATCGATCCAACAGCAGGGTGACCTGCCATTGTCCCCAGCCTGCAGACAAGGACCCTGAAACAGGGAGTGAGGCACTGGGTCAAGGGCATAGTCTCCGCCATCCCTGCCAACAAGCTCACCCGAAAAGAAAGTGGTGGACTTTCGCCCCAGGCTGAAGAAGCCAGGGACTGGAGCAGCGAAGAAGGCAGGTGCCGTCCCCACGTGCGTGTGGCACACTGCAGACCTACCAGTTCACATCGGAGGGGCTTCATTTCAGTTTCAGAAATGCATTTAACACTGACAGCCTCCCAAACGTGATGGGAAATGTCGAGTGGGCAGAAAAGCACAGATGGGAGGCAGAGCCAAGCCCGGCTCCACAGCCAGGCCACAGATGTTGCTTCTTAGACCAGAGACAGCCTGGTGGTGCCCAGCAGGAGCCAGGCACCCTGTGCAATGTGTCCCCCGGTGGTGCTGGATGGCCAGCTCAGGACCCCATATTCCAGCAGAGGAGGGGTGAGAAGAGCAGAGCATTAAGATCCTGGAATGACTGACAGGTCCCTAAAGCGGTTAGTAAAAACTGACAAAATGAAACCAACAGGAACCAATCGTAACATACTCTATGTAGATTTTAAAAAAAATTAGATGCAGATGGGCACAATGCCTTTATCTTATTTATTTATTTTTATGTGATACCGAGGATCGCACTCAGTGCCTCACACATGCTGGGCAAACCCTCTACCACTGAGCCACAACCACAGCCCTGCATGTAGATATTAAAGAAACAGATGACCAAATTTGTGGGTTAGAGAAAAAAGAATCCTAAGAGCTGCACAAATAGAGACAGATCTGGAGATCTGTCTCCCCAAGGCAGGTCATTCACAAACGTACCTCAAGGCCAGGAAAGGACAGCAAACCCTCCAGCTGGATGAATAAGAGTTGCGGGGGTGGGGTGGACTGTGACAGGCCACTCCACAGGTCCACGGCCACTGGAGGCTTGGCACAGGTGAGGGTCTGAATGGGCAGCCATGTTAGCCAGGTTGGGATGGTCCTCCCAGGAAGAACAGGACAGGCCCAGGGAGCCTGTGGCCTCAGTGCATGGGGACCACGCTCTCTCTCACCAAGGGTGCAGGCGCGGACCTCCCCAGGGCTCCTTCGTTCTCTGCTTACTTTCATGTCACAATGACCTCAGGGGCCAGGAACACAGCCCTGTGAGGCACATCTGCTGACCCAACAGCACAGCTGCTGCCCAGCTGCTGCCCAGAAATGGTCACATCCCCTGGGAGACAGTGGTGTCTCAGGGACAGTGGCCCTGGCCTCCCGACAGCTACACCCAGTGAATGATTCCAGAGGGAATAAGGCTCCCTTCCCAGGCCTGGTGCTGGGCAGAAAGTCTCCATTTCTGGATGCAAGAGTGACACACTGCACTGGAGCCTTCTGTGTGCCCAGGATCCCTCCACAGGTCGCCTGGGGCTTGACAGCAGGCACATCCTGCAAAGCCAGACCTTCATAGTCACATGTCCTCCCCAGGGCCTCAGGCTCTGTCCACTGCTCTGATGTGCTCTGCTCTGTCCACTGCTAGTGTCTCTGGAAAGGCCCCTGGGTGAAATGCAAGTGTGAGCACCTGGGTGTGTATGTGAGTGCCTGAGTGCATGAATGTGCCTGGGTGTATGTCCATGTGAGCACATGAGCATGAGTGTGCATGTGCATGTGTTGGGTTATGAGAGTGTGCATGTGTGCGTGTGCACGTGGCTGTGTGCCCGGGTTTATGGGTATGGAAGTGTGAAAGCCTGAGTGTGTGTATACCTGTGTGTGATGTTGCAGTTATGAGTGTGTGAGCGTGAGCACCGAGTGTGAGCCTGTAGGTGTGGGTGTGAGAGCTGGCATGAATGTGTATGTGTCCAAGTGATTATGCATGTGTAAGTCTCATGAGTGCGATGCTGTGAGCACATTAGCTTGGATCTGTGCGCGTGTATATGCACCTGTCCGTGTCCCAGGTTGCTCCTCCAAGTGGTGGGCCTACCAGCCCTGTCTCATGCTCCCAGAGCTGCGGGGTTCCACGCTGCTCCGGGCGGCTCTGATTGCCGCAGGGTCTCCCCAGGACCCCGCTGGGCGCGAGAGGGCGCCGTGCCACCGCGGGCAGGACCCACCAACCGATGAGCAGGGCGGTGCCAGACTCTGGGCAGCCGGCCAGCGGACGCCGCGCTCCGCCCCGAGGAACCGCGGGCAGGCGCGTGCAGCCGGCAGCCAGCCCCGAGGTAAAGTTGCGCGCTCCGTGGAGCCGCGGTCTACCCCGCAGTTCCGGGGTCCAGGGCGGGGATGGGGGCGCTGGCGCCTTTCCGCGGGCTGCCACTGCCCGCCGTGCACACTTTGGCCTGAAGTGGAGGGACTCGGAGGGGGCGGGGCGGACTGTTCGGGCGCCGCCCCCGCCCCACGCGCTCGATCCCCAGGGCGCGCGGGCCCGGCCGCGTTGTGCGCTTTCACCGAGGTCCAGGGGGCCGCTGGAGCCTGGATCCTGCAGCCGCCCCGTCTGCCAGCATCAGTCCTGCCAAAACCTGGGTGAGAGGAAGAGGGGACGGACAGAGGGCCCGCGACTGGGATAGGGGTCCCCAGGGTGAGACCAGGGCTCTTTCAGGCTCTGTCCGGCTTGGAAGGTGGGTGCTTCCGCGAAGGTGGGGGACATGGGCGAATGTGTGTACGCCTTCCTGGCCGGAGAAGCGGTGAGATGATCCACCCCACGGCCAGCTTACCAGCACAGGCGCGCGCACGCGGCCCCCCTCCCACCCTACCTTGTACGACCCGCCGCGGGCGGGTCTGAGTCTGGCGGGGGTCCCGGCTCTCGCAGCGGTGATTTCTGCAAACTCCCAGCCCGAGCGTGCGCCGCACCTTCCAGGCTGAGATGGGGCTCTGCGGCTGGGGCGCGGGCAGCGCCTGTGGCTCGTACAGTGGCCCCAGGGGGCAAGGATTGTTGGGCGTTGAGGGGGTCCGGACCTCGGCGGGCAGGTGCGGGGTGTGAACTGGCCTCCTCTTGCCTCCGCACCACCACCCGCCCGACGCCGGTCCGGGGAGGGAGGCGTCCTCGCACCTGCGAGTGTTTGTGCTTCAGCTGTTGCGGGGTGGCCCGGGAGGTCCCTTCCCAGCCCGCCCGGCTCCAGCCATTCCGACCCTCGGAACTTTGCCCGCTCAGCAGCGCGGCGGTGGCGGGTTGTCCTTGGGAAGCCTTGGCCCCTTGTCCGACTTGGCTTTCTCGGCTCTTCTCCCCCCGACTTCCAGGAAGTCCTTCTCCTCCGCATTTGCCCTCCGCAGGTTGTAAATAATGGATCTTGACCTAGTTGGGAAATCTCAGAGCAGTTCTGAGTGGCTCACTCAGCCCAGCCCTTGGGTCAAGATGGCAAACCCGGGGTCAGATGTAGGTGGGGCGCGGGAATCGCCTTGAGCAGTTTTCTTGTCTGCTGAGAAATCTGGAGGAGTCCAGCATCCCTTGGTGATGCAGAGAGGGCTCATCCCAGCCCTACCGCTCCCTCGGGCTGCCGGGCTGAGCTCTGGCTGGGGTGGACCTCACATCCTTCCAATCCTCCTGGGGTGGAATTGCGCTGTTCCCTTGAACTATGAACATGTAGCACGTTAGGGGTCAAAATACACTTGCTGTAGGTCCTGGTTAGGTGCTAGCCACAAAGATGTGGGCTGTGATGTGTGCCCAGAGGTGCCTTGTTGGTGTCTTACTAGGGAGGGGAACAACTTTCAGGTCTTTTTAAGGCCAGTGCCAATATATACATTCCACTTTGCAAACTTCTGATACCTTGAGATTTCCATACTTTAAGAAACGAATTGTGTGTGTGTGCAATACAGGAAGGAAAGGAGGAAGCCTGCTCCCGGCTGACAGAGGGCCTGTATGGCTTTCCCTTTTCAGTGCCTAGGAGGCTCCTGCACAGAACGGATGCTCAGAAAATTGTGCTGGTTGATTAATTGTTTGAATCATAATTAAGAGCTTATGCCCAGGGTATGGCTGGGAGCGCATTATCGTAATTACAGGTGTAGATGCATAATCAATAGGTCTTTTAGAGCATAGGTTGGTGGGAAATGATAAAATGTGGGGTGGCCCTGGTAAATGCCATCAGGGGCCCCTCAGCAGATCTGGTACAGTCAGTCTCCTGGTCCAGAGCTTGTCTTCCAGAGAAGTGCGTCTGCCAGGCGCCAGGAGGGCAGCAGGAGCCAGGGGGCTGTTTGGAGTAGGAGGTGCTGCTGACTCGCCTGTGTGGATGTGTGGGGGCAGGCTGTGGGGAGCAGATGGGCAGCTTGGGGACGTGTCGATGCAGAAGAGGGGCAGACCTGAACAAGGAGGCCAGGCCCAGGGCTCCAAATGGCCACCTGGGTCTGAATATCTGAGCGCGTGATTTCTTGGAGCCGAGACATCTAGGTTCTGGTCCGTCTAGGAGTGTTCTTTGGTCATGGAGGGGCTCCCATTTGCTGGAGGTTAAGTGTCTGCCTCAGGGGTCCTGACAGTCCGCTGTGAGGAGGGCTCAGAGTGGCACCTACAGAGCAAGGGCCGGACCCTGCCCCTGGGCTGGACCCCAAAGAGGGTGTGTGCCTCACCTTGGGAGAGCTCTGCTCCAAGGACGGCGGCCGCGCTCGCAGTGCAGTGACCTCCACGGAAGAGTCCCAGCAGTTCACCTGGCACCTGTGCTCCAAGCAGGTGTGTCTGCAGCATTCCCAGGACTCCACTTGAGAAGCAGCTGTGAACCGTGTGCATTCTGACCCTGTGTCAGATGGGAAACGAGCACTGCAAGGTGTCTTGGCGCTCAGTCTGAGAGGGGAGACTTTTACCAGAACCCAGTAAAACCAGTAGTACATTTTCTGCACAGACAGCACCCAGTATTTACATCTGACGGTGAGTTTAGAAAAAGACTAATGGAAATGGAAGACGGTAACAGAAGGCCTCATGTTGCTTGTGTTCCACAGAAGACGGCATATCTGCTGTGCAAGCAGAGGCCTGCCCAAGACCCTGGGCACAGCACAGTAGGCTCTCCCCTCCTCCTATTGCAATCCAGCTCTTAATTTAGTTCCCCTCTTCCTCCCAGGACCCCTGTGAGCTGCACCTGCTGGGCATTGCTGCTCCTGTGAGGAGGGACCCGGATGCAGCTGTGACCAGGAGCCTGGGCCACACTTTCCAGAACTTAATGACCTTCCTGGTTATTTTTAACCTTCTTAGATATTTAAATGGTGGAGTTTAAATGTGAGATTAGTCTTGGGTGGTGCTGGGCATGTGAAAGTAAAGGCTAGAATCCAGGGGCCACACAGAGCCTCATAAACTGATCTGATCTGAATACGGCAGAGTTCTAACTAAATTCCAGTCTGGCAGACAGATTTGCTTTTGTAAAGGGTTAGTATGGTGACCAGTACTCTGACCTAGGTGAGCCTGACCCTCGGCTCCAAGCACCTTGTGGGCGTGGGTGTGGGTGCCCAGGCTGGCCCTATCTCCCGCTTGTGGGCATCAAGGGGCTCTGAGCCAATAGGGGTTGCAGGTGTGGCAGACCCATGAGCAGCACTGAGCACAGGCTTCCCTCGTGGTCCCAGCTGGACGGTGGGAGGTGAGCCAGTGAACCCAGGTCCTGCCCCGGGCTCCACCTGTGAGGCTGAAGACAGGACCTGCAGTCAGCTCTGATCACAGAGCCTCGCTGATTCCCCTAGTGGGAAAATTTTTTTTTTTTTTTGTACAAGGATTGAACTCAGGGGCACTCAACCACTGAGCATCATCCCCAGCCCTGTTTTGTATTTTATTTAGAGTCAGGGTCTCACTGAGTTGCTTAGTGCCTCGCCATTGCTGAGGCTGGCTTTTTGAACTCTTTGAGCACTGGGATCACAGATGTGCACCACTGCACCTGCCCAGTTCTTAAAACTTAAGCACCACCAAAGTGGACATCTTTAAAGACTAACCTGTGAAATTTTGAGTTTGATAAAAAGTTTGAGAACATGTAGGCTCCAGGGGGGGAAGCTGACTTCCCAGCAGGATGCCAGTGCCTGGAGCTCCTCACCGTGTAGTGCACCCCACTTTACTGTCCAGGCCTTCCAGGTGAGTCCTTGCCACCAGGTGCGGTCCCTGTCCAAGAGGCGTGCCCACAGGAGGTCCCAGGCATGCTCCTCCAGGGCCCTTCCCTGGCTGGCGAGGCCTGTGCCCACTTCCTTTGCCTACTTTAGGGGGTTGCGGTCTGGCCCTCTCCTGGCATCCCAGCTCTCTCCATGCCTCCTGTTCGCTCTGTCTTCCTGTGATGATCCTGGGGCTGGTGCTATTGCCTGTGTTTGTCACATGGCCTGCGTAGGTGTCACAGTGACTGTACGCTTGCCTTCTGCCATGCAGCCTGCTACAGGCCTGATGTCAGCTGCTGACGTCATCGGGCACTGCTGTGTACCAGGCTGCACAGCAAGAGGAAGTCAATTTGCAGACATTTCCAGTGAATTAATGCAGGCTGGATTCATTAGAATTAGAAAAATACCTCAACTGCTAAAATCTAGAGTCTTTGGGGGCTAACACACACCTTGTGTGCAGGGCAGGCCCCTTTCCATCAGCCAGCAGATGGTGAAGAGACCAGAGTGAAGGCCCAGGAGGTCGGGTGGGTCTGAGGTAGGCAGGCAGTGTTGGTGTTTCTCCATGACCCCAATCCCAGTGTGACAGTGGAATGTAGGTGTATCAGCCTGTCTTTACTATAACAAAATACCTGGGACAGGCTGATTTATAAAGAGAAGTTTATTGGGGCTCATGGTTTTGGAACCTGGGAGTCCAAACAGAGGGTTGCCGCCCCGGCCCCTGGGCTACATCCCCTCTGGCAAGAGCACATGTGTGTCTGTCAGTCTGGTTGCTCTCCCTTTGTTATAATCAATCCCACTAGGAGCCTCTCAGGGGACTCCACCCCGTGAGGACTCTCCAACCTCATCACTTCCCAGAGGCCCCGGCCCTAAGCACCAGTTTCCACCCTCTGAATGAGTGAAAGGGGACTTTGTCTGATCTAATCACTTCCCGGGGACCCAGCCCTAAGCCCCAGAGTCGAAGGCACACATGACATTGGGGATGGGGCTGCTGAAGCTGCACATTCCAGCCTTGGCAGAGGCCAAGGGAGTGAGCCACGTGGGTGGAGAGCTGTGTCCCTGCCTGGACAAGTGCTGCCGTGTTAGGCCTCGGCTCAGGTCAGGCTTGGCTGCTTGTTGGCCGGGAGGCTCACTGGGAAGTGCTGTGTGGTCCCAGGAGGCTCTGCAGGGGGTAGATGGGCCTTGGTCACTGAACATCAGCAGTACAGGACGTGGGGCCTCCTTGCTCATGGCTGGGCCGAGTGAGGGATGTTCTGGGGTGCTTCACACTCCAGTCAGGCCTCCAGAGGAGCGCACTCCAGGGAGTCGGAGGCGACTTTCAGAGTGATGTGGGTGGAGCTGCCCTCGCGGGGGTCTGGGATGTGCGTCTGGCCACTGTTGTCCTTGAGCACTGCTTTCAGACTGCAACGCGCGAAGGCCCCCTGCTCGCCCGCACCCACCGCGGCAGAATTTGTAAAGGGGCAAATGGCACACTCCTG